CAGTGCATACATCAATATGAGTGAGGGAATGTGTCTCAGTTTGTGGAGGGGCTGGAATGAGTGAGGAGGCCTGAAGGTCATTGGCTCCCATAGGAAGGCCACCACCAGGATTCAGTGCTATGCTGGGTTAGCATTACCTCTGCAGCCTCACTGAGCAATTATTTCACAAGGAACCTTATTCAGGATTTGCACGTCTCTATGAACCAGTGATGAAACACAATCTGTACTCTTGGTGGTGAACTTGACGGAATTTCTAGAACTTCTGGAATTCCCTCCCTAATGGCATTGGGGTTGTACCTACATTAAATGGACTGCAACTGTTCAAGAAAGCAGCTCACCACCACCCTCTCGAAGGCAGCTAGGGATGGGCAAGAAATGCTGGACCAGCCAATGTGCCTCTGTTCTACAAGTTAATTTAAAAAAAATCAACAAACTTGTCAAGTGTCAACAATTTGATAGCATTAGGTTCAAGAAAAGTGTGTAACCAGTTGGCATGATGGGCACAGCAGACTGTACTACACCAAACATGTGGCATCCTCAGGTTATAGGATCCATCATCAGTTTTACCTAAGAGCCTGTTGAGAAGCATGGTCTTACTGACAATGACTCTAAGATGTGGAACATTACAGATACCAATAGTATTTAGATGTCCACATGCGATGTCAAGGCATACAAGGCAATGCTGGAAATAGGTGAGAATTATTAGGTGGTTGTTTATGTTTAGTATAGACTCAATGGGCTGAAGGGCCTTTATCTGTGCTGTTGACCTCTATGACTTTCTTTCTTAAGTGCAGGAGAGGGTTAGCAGAATGTTACATGGCTGTAACACTAGAAACTTGGCTATAGAGAGAGAGGCATGCGTGTAGTTTATGGCTGGGAAGGAGCAACAAGCCAGATCACAAGGGAAAACCGTTGAGAGGCAGCAAAGGGCAGGATTGAAAGTCACTGCAGCAGGAAAACATGATAATACAGTATCATCGAGGGATTCTTCACTCAAGCCTATGCCATCTTCCAGGAGATTGGATACACTTCATGCTTTACATTTCTTCCCGCATTATCTGTTCTGTTTATAATTTTTTCTACATTGCTTCATTATTTTCCTTTAAAGAATGATTTTGTAACCATGCAATCCTCAGCTGTTTAATGGGATGTGCTGGTGTTGTGCCATTTCTGGTGATTTGCATATTCATGTGCCACGTTCTGCCTGCTTTACCGCTGACGTGCCCAAGCTCCCTGTCTTCAGGATCATTTTATCTCCTATAGCCACCGATTCTGTTCATGTTCTTTCAAAAGTTCACCTTCTGCTGCATAAGGCTCCTTTCAGTACTTAGAGCCATACAGCATGGAAACAGACCCTTCAGTCCAAATCATCCACACTGACCAGGTTTCCTAAACTGAATTAGTCCAATTTGCCTGCATTTGGCCCATATCCCTCAACTTTTTCCTATCCATGTACCCTGTCCAAATGTCTTTTAAATGTTGTAACTGTACCTGCCTCTACCACTTCCTCTGGCAGCTCATGCCATATATGCACCACCCTCTGTGTGAAAAAGTTGCCCTTCAGGTCCTTTTTAAATCTTGCCCCTCTCACCTTAAACCTATGTTCTCTAGTTTTGCACTCCCCTACTGTGCGTAAAAGACCTTGGCTATTCACCTTATCTATGCCCCTCATGATTTTATAAACATCTATAAGGTCACCCCCTGGCCTTCTGTGCTCCAGGGAGAAATGCCCCAGCCTATCCAGCCTCTCCAGCCTCTCCTTATAACTCAAACTCTCCTCTCTCAGTAACATCCATGTAAATCATTTCTGCACCTTTTCCAGTTTAATAACATCCTTCCTATGGGTGTTAACATCAGTTTAGGAGCCAGAAATCTACTCTGTGTTATGCCCACCACACCACAATTGAGGATGAGCCTCTGAGCTACACGGTGATGTTTGTAGGCATGGAATATTCCACTGGAATCACCCTCAATCTCCAAATGTTTTGGAGCTGCCTTGAGGCCTTGTGCCTGGCCATATTTAAGGTGCGAGGTGATTTGAAGACGGGAGGGGGTGTTGTGAAGGTAGGGGTGGTCGGGGAGGGTGTGTTGCAAAGACATTCCTACACAGCCTCATGCCTCTGTATGGTTTAAGAATACCAGGCTCCACATTCTAAGATGAGAGAGATACTGCTTCCCTAAATAACTTAGATAACAAGGTGTAGAGCTGGATGAACACAGCAGGCCAAGCAGCATCAGAGGAGCAGGAAAGCTGACGTTTCGGGCCTAGACCCTTCTTCAGAAGAAAGATTGGCCTGCTGTGTTCATCCAGCTATACACCTTGTTATCTCAGATTCTCCAGCATCTGCAGTTCCTACTATCTCTCCCTAAATAACTTGAATGTTAATGCATCCCTGTTAGTACTGAAAATACAATTGCATCCCATAAACTGCTATAAATCAGGAAATGGGAAGAAGGAGCTTTGGAAAATTGCCAGCACCATGGAGCGAGATGTTGGAGTTACAGGTTGACACGTTCCCCAGGTCCAGGGTTTTAAAATTACTGATTAGTGAGCCAATTGTTGTGTGCTTTAAATTCCCTGAAATTCTCTAGATTTTGGGACATTTCCATTAGACTGGAAATATGACTTCTTTATTCAGAAAGGGAGAGTAACAAAACTACAAGCCAAATAGTTTAATAACTGTCTCAGTGAAACCATTTGGAGCTGTTATTAAAGCTGTTATAGTAACTCACTTTTAAAATTTCAGGGCAACCAGGCAAAGTCAACATGGTTTTGTGAAAGTGAAATCATGTTTAATCAATTTATTGGAGTTCTTTGAAAAAGTAACACACGCTACAGATAAAGGGGAACTGTTGGTGTATTGTACATAGATTTTCAGAAGCTATTTGATAAGGTGTCATGTCAAAAGATTATTGTGGCAAATGAAAGCTCATGGTGTTTAGGGGTAACCTATTGGCGTGGGTAGAAGATTGGCTGGCTAACAGAAAACAGTAGGCATAAATGGGTCAGTTTCTTGTTGGCAGAGCATAACAAATAAAGTGCCACAGGGATCAATGCAAAAGCTTCAACTTTTTAGAATTTATTTATTAACTTAGGTGAAGGATGTTGGTATAGTTGCTAAATTTGCTGATGACTCAACTAAAGAAGTAAAGTAAGTTGTGAAGAATAAACAAAACAAGACCACAAAGGGATATGGATAGGTTAAGTGTGTGGGCAAAGATGTGGCAAATGGAGTATAATTTGGGAAAATGTTGAACCGGAAAAGTGGAAAAAAAAAGCATTTAAATGGTGGGAGATTGGAGAACTCTGAAATGCAAAGGTTGGTATGCAGATACAGTAAATAAATAAGAAAGCTAACAGAATGTTATCATTAATCACGCGGGGAATTGAAAACAAATGCAGGGGTATTGTGATGCAGTTATACAAGGCGCTGGTTAGATCACATCTGGAGTACAGTATCCTTTTGGTATTGTCCACTATGCTTGAGGCAGGTCAGTCCAGGCTAACACCTAGAATGGGCAGGTTGTCTAATGAGGTAAGGATGGACAGTCCAGGCTTGTATCCACTGGAATTAGTAGGGTAAGAGGTGAATTGATGCATAAAATCCTGAGAAGTGGAATGTGGAAAGTGGAAAGGATGTTTCTTCTTGTAGGGCAGCCTAGTATTACAGGTGACTGTTCAAAAATAAGGAGTCAAGTTAGAATCATAGAATCCATACAGTGTGGAAACAGGCCATATGGCCCAACAAGTCCACACCAAGTCACCCCCCTACCCTATAACTCTACATTTCCCATGGCTAAACCACCTGATCTGCACATCTTTGGACTGTGGGAGGAAACTGGAGCACCCGGCGGAAACTCACGCAGACACAGAGAGAATGTGCAAACTCTACACAGACAGTTGCCCAAGACTGGAATTGAATCTGGGTCCCTGGTGCTGTGAGGCAGCAGTGCTAACCACTGAGCCACCGTACCGCCCCATCCACTTAAGACAAAGATTAGGTGAATTTTTTTTCTTGCAAAGAGTCATGAGTCTTCAGAACTCCCTTCCTCAAAGGAAAGAGGTAGACAGATTCTTGATAAGCAAGGGGAGTAAAAGTTTATTGGAGGAAGGTGGAATGTGGCAATGAGGGTAGAATCAGATCAGCTATAGTAAAGCAGGACTGAGGGGCCAAGTGGCCTACTCCTGCTCCTAATTCATATGATCCTATTTTTGTATGTTCCCAATCCCAAAAACAGCAGGAAATAAAATCACTTTCTAAACCTTCAATTGCCTTTTGTGTTCAATTAAACATTCTGAAACAAACTCTTCAATTTCTGTTTTTTTTAACATTGATGTTATGGTTATTAAATCAGTCACTGTGCTATAATGAGTTTCTGTACATTAGCATGTTATACCTAATTCTGACAGCAGTAAAGGAAGAAGACATTAGACTAAACTGATCATGTGATGCGAGAGACGCTGCACTAAAGAGCTGGATTTGAGAACCCACTGTGTAGATGTAAATAAATCAGTGTACATGAAGAGTTGAAGAGTCTTACTTAGCAATAAGGGCCAGGTACAGTATATGTACACATGTCCACAGCTTGAAAGACTCCAGATCAGTATCTCAATGCTTAGGCAGCAGTATTAGTATAAGATATAGCAGTCACGTTAAAAAAATAAGAAGTTTCTTTGTCTATAGGTAGTGCCTGATTTACATGAACAATTTGGTTGGATGAATTGCGATTTTAAGTTAATAAAGTGGAGAAAGGGATAGTCCCATGTAGGTTTGGCACTTCTTTTATTCCTGTTCATTCACAGGTGTGATGTAATCAGCAGTGTCACACATTTACAGCAGCTTACTCCTGAACAGCTAATGCGAGACCAATGGTTGAGAGTCTGTACTTTGAGATTCAATCTAAATAACACAGTTGCTAAGGTCCATGTCTGTAAATGCCCATATTAACCTGCTTTTGATGTTTTTATATTCACTAATAATTCACTTTCTTTATTCCAGACCATGAGTAGCAACTAAAGCAAGAGAACCATAGCCTTCAAGTGATCACATACCTTTGGTAAAGACTTAAATCAGACTGCAGATATATTGGTGATTTGCACAGCAGATTCCTCTGCTCCACATTATTGAGAAGAATGTAAAGAAATGTTTTCTACAGTTTAAACATGAATCTTCTGGTTCAAATGAACTACATCTCATATTATGTTTGATTGTTTGTTTGTAATTTATTCTTAAAACAGTGCTTGTATAGTTTTTAAGTGCCAGGATTTATTTAACATTAGCCTCAGGTTAATACATTTTATTCAGTAGAGATATTTTTGGGGACAGCGTATACGTGTAGATGCCCACAACTTGGGCATGAGAAAGAATACACGATGCCAGTTATTTTCATGTTGTATCTCCTGCCTCCTTTTTTTCATATATTGATGTTGGTACGATAACTGGCATTATAAGATGCCACTGAACATAACTGTCATGGTGATGACAGGCAGCATAATCCAGCAATTTGAGGAAGTGGGCATCACTGCATGAGGTGGTTTTAATCTGTGCCACCAATGTCACTGACTGTTAGTCCTGTAGATTGATCATAAATAAACGCATTTGTTTGTTCTTCCTTGTAGTCCTCATATTTTGTTTCGGTAGAGCTGTGGTCTGCCCTGATTTGTAAGCCAATCAATGAATGCATTTTGCTTGAAAGGTGCTTTAAGCTATCTCCTTTGGAAGGAATGATGATGATCCTATTGGGAAGATGGGGCAACCCAACAGAGATGGTTAAAATTTCGAAGGAGTTTGACACACTAGAATCAGGGAACTTGTTTCCAGTTGCAGGTGATCGTAAATATAGGATAGACACTTATAAATCTCACAAAGAAATTGGAAAGAACTGTTTTACTCTGAGACCTTAGAATGTAGAAGACACTACCATAGAAAATAGTTATGGCGATTAGTGTTGATATATTTGAGGGAAACCTTAAGGGGCATAATTTTAAAGTGTAAGGCGGGAGAATTAGAGGGGATTTGAGGAAAACACTTTTCACCCAGAGAGTGGTGGGGTCTGGAATGCACTGCTGGAAGGGTAAACAAGGCAGAAACCTCACAACCATTTAGTGTCATAACATTCAAGGCTCTGGGGTAAGAGCTGGAAATTAGGCAGTAGTGCATTTTAGCAGTGGGTTGAAGGCATCTTCTGTACTGCATGATTCTATGATTCTATGATTGTATGACATGAAGGAGAAAAGGTACAAGGAGATGCTATTGAGATGAATTATTTCTGATACTTCTGATCCATTTGGGTTTTAAGGCAGCATTGAGCTCTATTTACATTTTAAAAAGAAAACACTTTTAAACAGATGGAATATAAAGGTCCATTATGAAGAGTGCGTGTGCTGTGGAAGCACCTGCGATGTGACACTGTTAGGTGTTTTCTTCAGAATAAAATAGCATGATAGTAAATGCGAAATGCTGGCTTGGAGACACTGGTTGACTTGCCACCCAAGCGTATATTGTTTTCCAAGAGTGTGTTCTTGGCAGATGGCCCTCAATGTACTGAGAATACTATCTCGAGTATGTGGTCTATTAGTATATTCTCATCTGATAGGACTTCTCACTTCCGGGCATTTTTCAATGAATGTGACTTGACTCAATCTCCTCTCAGTTTCAGTGGCTGCAAGTTGGATTTTTAACCTGTTTGCTCTCTCAGAATTCTAAAGCCCTCCTCTTAAATGTGATGCCAAACTTTTTCAATACATGATAGTCATGAATTAAATAAGTAAATCATGAGAAGTGTCTTTATTGAGAGGGGTTAGGGTATGGAATCTCTACCATGGGGAGTGGTTGAGGTGAATAACATTGATGCAGTTAAGAGGAGGCTGGAATAGGAAGGGTGGGTGGAGGAAATAGAAGGCAGTTGTAATGGGGTTAGATGAAGACGAAGGGAGGAAGATCTGTGGATCTGACTGTTGCTGGCTCAATGATACTGTGCAAAATGTCAGTATTGCTGAAAGAAAGAGATATTCTGCCTCTTTCAACTGAACAAAACCTCCAGGGACAGCCACTCCTCATGGAGAAGCCTTAACCAATCAGAGTTAATTTGCTCGCTTTGATCTTAAACAAAAACATTGCAGTGAACCGTTTCCTGGTGTATTTTCCATAGCGGCAGCTCTGCTAATCAGAAACCACCTGACAACCAATCAGCACCCTCTTTTCATTATGGGATGGGATGCCAATCAAGTGGATTCCTTATACCAGATAGTGTCAAACCTCTTGAGTATTGCTGTAGCTGCAGTCTTCCAGATGAATAGGGAGTATTCCATCACACTTGTGTCTTGCAGACGATGGACGGACACTGAAGAAACAGGAGGTGAATTATACACCACTGAATTCCTAGTCTCTGACCTGTTTTTGTAGTCACAGAATTTATATGTCTAATCGAGTTCAGTTCTGGTAAAAGATAAGTCCCCTGGATGTTTATAATGTTGGTGATGCCATTGAATGTCAAGGGTTGGTGTTTGGATTCTTTGTTGTTGGAGATGGTCACTGCCTGGCACTTATGTGCTTTGATTGGTACTTACTAACAATCACCAACATACCATTTGTTACTAACTTCTCTCAAAGGTGGAGGGTGTAGGGGGAGTGAAGGATAGCATCTTATTGGCCATGATCTTATCAAATTGTCGAGCAGGCTAAAGAGGCTATATGGCCTACTGCTCCTAAAACGTATGTTCAGATGTTGACTTGATGATTGGAAAAAAAGGCACTTATCTAAATTTTTCAAGGCCACAAAGATAGTGTTATATGTGGAAACATAATCATTGTAAAGGGCTATCGATAGATTGTGAGTTGACAAAACTGTGGTAAAAGGAGGTACGAAAAGAAAGGTAAACAAATGTGAGGTCATTCATCTTGGAAACAAAATGGGTGGAATAGGGTTCTTTCTAAATGGTGTAAAACCGAATACTTGGAGGTAAAGGTACAAAGATTGCTTAAAAAGTCCTGAACAGGTACAAAAAAAACACTAAAGTCTAATGGAATGCCGGGCTTTATACATGGACAACTAGAGTTCAACCTGGAAAAGTGAGAGTTAATGTTCTGGGGAGGGCTAACAAAGCAAAGGATGTGACTTCTGACCTTCCAGCGAAGGTGAGTGACTGCCTGAAATTTGCAGTACGACGATCTCCATTAGACTCAGCTGTAGTAATTATCTAAAATGATGTTTCCAATCCATAGGTGCAAAGTATTTAATACCAGGTTAAATTGACAGCTGTAACTACTTTCTGGGGTAAGTGAGGATAGACAATAATGGTGGCTTTGTCAGAACAGCCATTTCCTGAGCATATTGGCTGAGTTTTCACCTTGGCAGTCAGGAAACAGGAGCCATTTTGTGGGGTGGAGGTCACAGTCACTTGTTGGAATTTTGACCACACCGTGTGGTTTGGAGACAGATCCCCCATCCACCAAAGTACGGCAGGGGGTTAGGGTTATGTTCTCAAAGCTAGAGCAATCACCAAGGCCTTAACATATCAGAGATGCAGCCAGCTACAGGAAAGGGTACAGATCGGAGAGGACACAGGATGCGAAAGTATCCTTTTTTTTAAAGAAACACGTTAATCAAAAAAATTACAAAATAGTGCCAGCTTACACTGTCAAAGGGTCTGTATGGGATGTTGGAAGCATCTCTGCAAGAGATACTACCACCGAACCAGAACAGAGGGATGCCTATCATCCTGCCAGAAATACTGTACTCTGCACAGCCACTGTGACCCTAGCTCCAGGCAGTTTAACCATCCTCTCCCTGTCATAGGGCAAACTCAAGAGCACCTCAAACTCAAAATCCAAACACCTTCCATTACCAGGCCCTAACTGTGAATGTGTCCAATTGTCCATCACCTCATTCTTGCTGGGGACCAAACCCTCTTCAGGTAAAATGGCTGATCACAACAAAAGGTTATGTCAGACACCCTCGTGATTGTTTAGATCTCATCAGCCCCCGTTCCTGACCTCAGTGTGACCTGAAATTCAATCTCTGATGTCTTATAAATAGCTACCTTTTGAAAACACATAGTTTTAAAACACTATGATTTAATTGATTCAGAGATAGTGGGAACTGCCAATGCTGGAGAATCTGAGATAACAAGGTATAGAGCTGGATGAACACAGCAGACCAAGCAGCATCAGAGGAGCGGGAAGGTTGACGTTTCAGGCCTAGACCCTTCTTCAGAAATGAGTTTTCTCATTTACAGTACATAATGTAAGATTATCAACACTGTCAGTAGACATAGATATTTTCTAGTCAACCAGTTCAGACACACTGTGGTGCAGGTGGGGACTTGAACCTGGTCCTCCTGACCCAGAGGTAGTGACATTACTACTGCACCATGAGAGCCCTATTTATCAGTGAATATACAGTGGCAATGAGAGAAAATTTTGGATAAATTATCCTATGTAGGAGGTTAGTTAATAACATTAGAGCACATGGGATTGAGGAATGAGGTAATATACTACCACACATTGAGGGTTGGTTAATGTACAGGAGGCAGAGCTGTCCATTGGAATAATTGGATCATTGTTAGGATGGCAATCTGTTACTATGGGGTACTGGAAGGATCAGCACTAGGTCCATAGCTATTCACAATCGATTTAAATGATTTGAATGGGGTGGGGAGGACCAATTATTATGTTTACAAATTTGCTGATGACACCAAATTTGGTGGGAACATGAGTTGTGTGAGGTTGCAAAAGAGGCTTTGCGATGACCGGGACAGACTAGGTGAATGAGCTAGGACATGGCAGATGGAATGTAATGTGAATAAGTGTGAATTTGTTCATTTTGGTACAAAAATACAGAAAGGCAGGTTCATTCCTCAATGGTGAGAGGCTGGGAACAGTAAGTGTTCAAAGGAACCTGGGTGTCTTTGTACATGAGTCGCTCAAAGTTATTATGTAGATGCAGCAAGCAATTAGAAAGACAAATAGTGCATTGGCCTTCATTCTGCAATGAATTGAGCAGATGGTGCTGCAGTTGTTTGGAGCCTTGAAACTTCACCCAGAGCAATGTGTATGTTTCAGGTCCCATTAACAAAGGAAGGACATATTTGCCACAGAGGGATGCAATGGAGAAACCTTATTGAACCCTGGGCTGGTGAGACTGTCCTATGATGAGAGATTGAGGAAAATGGATCTGTACACTCTAGAGTTTTGAAGAGTTGACCTCATTGAAACTTACACAAAGGGTTAAGAAGGATGTGTCCCCTGGCTTTAGATTCTAAAACAAGGGAACATAATCTCAGAATAAAGGGTAAGACAATTACAACTGAGATGTGAAGGAATTTCTTCACCCAAAGGGTGGTGAATCTTCAGAATTCCCTACCTAAGACAGCTGGGGCAGCCCAATCATTGAGCAGGTTCGAGTCAGAAATCCACAATTCCTCTATTGGGCTATTATTTAAAATAAATAACACCACTGTAGATTTTATGAAAAAAAATAACAATTTTAACACATTACTATATATAGCCCAAATGTTATTCAAATAAATCCAATATTTAAGATTCAGGATAATTATAATGAAATGTATGTCTAATTTA